GTTCTACTGAAGAAACAAAGTCACCTACATCTTGGATGCCCTGGGGGTAAGCAGATAAACATCAAATTTTCATTTTTGAGTGAACTATCCCGTTAAGACGGAACTGTTGGTAGCTTTGGCTACGGCAAAGCGCGTTTTCAGTGCATTCAGCGTGTTTGCAGTTTATGTCTGGGGATGCAGTGGTAGTTTTGAAACCTAATCCTGCATTCATGCCCAAAATAGTTAATGCTATCATTCCTCTTGAGTTAAGAGCCTTCTATCCACCACCTTTTGCTTCATCAGAACAGCAAAAGTTAAATGCATTGTGCGCAGTGCGTGCTTAACGCATTTACACAGAAAGAACCAGAGGGTTCAGGGAGAGTGATCAGCTGTTCATATCTTGGATGAAACCTCGTACGGGGAAGTCGATTACTAAGTGGAGACGATAGTGGAGGTGATTTCGTTGGCATATTCCAGTAAGGGTCTTGTGTCCCCACCTGGTTTACGTGCACACTCAACAAGGGGAGTGTCAACTTCGTGGCTCTATTTAAAGGAGTCACATTACAGGATATTTGCAAAGCGGCGAGTTGGTCCTCACATTTGCAAGGTTTTATAAACCGGATGTTACAGCTCAAACTTTAGCACATGCAGTATTGAGCGTAGGAACATGAGTCACGAGTCATGACTCGTTCAGCCCCCGGATGCGGTGATTGTGGTTGGCAGGAGACTTCGAGGCAGGCTATTTGGTAATACGGGAGTTGGGATATCCCATAGTGAGACACCGAAACGGTTCTCTGATAGCATTAAGTGAGGTGTCTCACCAGATCACCCTCCTTGCTGTGCGAAGCGAGGAAGAGGTGTGCTTGTTTTGAATGTCGTAGTGACGTTGTGTCGCTCCCTTTTTACTGAGGGGTGGGGAGGCCACTCCCAGACACAACATCACGTCTGCCAGCCAGTTGGGGCTGGCGTAGAGTAATAGGGCTTCTGAGGAATACGCGGAAGGGGCGTATCCCATAGTGAGACACCTCACTTAATGCTGTCAGAGAACCGGGGTTACGCAAGTAACCTATTGTTTTGCAGCTGCATTCAGGGCCTGCAGACAAGAGAGCCATATGGATATGGCAAGCTATGTCACATCTAATCACACAGAATAAGAATTACTGTAAAGATATCAACACTTGTAAAAGTAATAATTCTTGTTATAAGCAATGGCATCATTTAAAAAAAATGTTCATTTCGATATCAGTAATTACATTTCCACTAGAGAAACTGCAGGTGACTCCTGTTCAAAGACAATTACAGATATCATTTCTGGATACCTGAAGTTAAGGGAACAAGACATTGCATTAGAAGAAGTGTCTAAAAGTTTTGCCATCGACTCTGTATCTTACTATGGACATTTGGAAACAAAGCTTCTGAACAAAGTGCTGCTGAAAACACTAGAGCTGTTCTGCTCTTGGGTGTGTCTGTAGAAACAAGTCTAATTTACAGGCAAACAAATAAAACCAAAATATGAATGCAATGCACAAAGTTTCACACTAAGCGTTTTCCCATAGAAGACCATAGCACATTGCGTTCATATTCTGGTCTCATCTGCTTGCCTGTATGCATTATAATTAGGTGTATGCAGAATTTGATATTTTAATGTCTTTGTGTTAGGGCATTATGTGTTTTCTCATGTTAAGAGTTTTAGAGTGTCTCGCTGTTTTATTCACACATCTTTGTTTTTCTCCTTTTTAGAGGTGATCTAAATAATTGGCAGGCCAGCAGCTCTGTGGATGTTTTGCTCTGCAGGCCTTTATGCCAGTCATGTGACTGAAAGCCAGGAACAATATATGAGGTATTTTTAATGTGAATATGGCAAGATATGTAAGATCATTATTATTTAACCATTATTATGCAATATTTTATTTATTTCGTTTACCATGTCACATAATATGCTGTCAGGTCACAAGCCTGATTTGGGCCACATGATCACTGGATTCATCTGGGCCACACTCCTCCCACCAACAATCAGCCATCATGTTGTTTGCCGTGATCCATACTGTGCCATCATTGCCACACATGGCCCAGCTCTGGCTGAAAGGGTGCACACCATTGCTGACAGGAAGGCAGCAGTGCCAGCTTGAGGCCATATTCGTGCCAAGATCATTAGCTATGTGGGATTTTAAGGTTACAAAATTTTGAATTTCCTTTTTTGTTTATGTCTAATTATTAGAGCACACCCTAGCTGGTAAATGATAAGTGAACAGGTTTATCAGGCGCTTCATAGTTCATACACCCCAAAAATGTTAACCATATCTTTTGATGAATCTACTAGATGGAAGTGAAAGCCCTAACTTTGCAGGTGCAGGCAAATAAGGAAGTGAAGAGAAATAATATGAAACTTAGTGGGAAATCTTAGCACTTGTACCATTGTAAAAGCATGCCAAATTTAAACTTTTCTTATCAAATGGTTGTAGGATTAACTATGGCCCCCAATAGCCAGAATTTGATCAAATTTGGCAGTCATCCTCTGAAAAGCACTTTCAATGAAAGAGCCTAAAACAATAAACAAACAAACACAGACAATTTAAAGTAAAAAATATAAAAGAATAGACTAAATTTGATGACTCAATTCTAGTATGTATGGTTTGTGAGTTATAAGCAATTAGGCATAAAATGATAGTGCCGGCTAGTAACAGTAAGTTGTGCTTGCGCTTGGCTGAGTATTAGGTAAGAAATGAGACCATCCAAATCTGATTTGTTTGTGCTTTAAACAATTGTAATATGTATCTAGAAAGACATTAGATATACTGTATGTGTTACATGAAAGACATTTGGTGTGAGTGAATAAATGATTTTTATTTTATCCAAACAAATACAATACAAAATAAAGAACAGTGAACAATTGTCAGAATTGTTCACTATTGTGTAAGATGGCGCCGACGCTGATGGCTGCCTCCGTGGCGTGCTCCGCAGTTGTTTTTATGTTTTTGTTAGTTTGTCCTGTCTTTAGTTATATCCCTGCAATCAGTTTCACCAGAGACGAATTGCTGGACATTCGGAAGTACACACCACCCGATATTTCACCGGTTTTCGATTATTCTGATGTTTTGCTGGACATTGTAGTCGGCGGAGCTGCTGTGCTGATCAAGCGCTTCAGGACGCGCAGACAGGGGAAGCGAGCCGGCGCGCTCGTGAAGCTCAGGCAGCGCGGATTCAGGACGCCGTTGCCGAGCATCCAACTGGCGAACCTCCGCTCTCTACCCAACAAAACGGACGAACTCCTTCTGCTCTCCCGGACAAATAAGGATTTTTCAAACTCTGCTGCTCTGTGTTTCACGGAAACCTGGCTGAAAGACGCCATTCCGGACAGCGCGTTGAGTCTGCCAGGCTTTCAGCTGTTTAGAGCAGATCACGACGCAGAATCAACGGGGAAATCGCGCAGCGGCGGGACATGCTTTTACATCAATGAGAGGTGGTGTACAGACGTAACTGTGTTAAAGAAGATGTGCTGTTCAGATCTAGAAGTGCTCTTCATTAACTGCAAGCGTACATACAAAACTGTCTATTGTAATATACCTGCACATACAATTGTCAATTTATATATTTTTATTCCTTATTTACTTGTTCTATTTTTTATTATCTGTGTTTTTTGTTCCGTCACTGTCATTCTGTTACACTGTGGAAGCTTCTGTCACGAAAAAAATTCCTCGTATGTGTAAACATACCTGGCAATAAAGCTCATTCTGATTCTGATTCTGAATGAACAAAAAGTAGAATTATGACTGTTTTTCTTCAGTAACCCTTGCTTTTGAACCACTGGGCTCTGGCAACAACATCATTGGAGTAATCACCGCCGGTGGTGCCCACGTCCATGCGCTCGTACGTACGGACGTTCTTTACTCCTGCATTGTAGGCTGATATTCCCCCTGAAACAGATATTATACCACAACTGAGATATTAAATGAAACCAAGTACTGACATAATATTTACAGTAATGCATTTACTTTTATGCTCTGAAAAGATATACTTATATAATTATTTCTAAAAGTTTTGTGAAGTCTTCTAATCTTCAGTTGTTTATAACCAAATTCAGTAAATCAATAAAAATCATAAAAACAGAAAATCAAGGCCTCATGCACTTCTCTGTTAATTCTGTGAGTTAATTAAGGTCTTAATTAGAGTTGATTTGTGGTCTCTGAGAGTATCCCAACTTTACCTTTAAAGCATTGCTCTTTTGTCCACTGGGGAAACTTTGCTCTTATGTCATTAATAAAGCCAATGAGTATCCCAGTCCCTTGTGTGAGATGTTCCTCACTGTCCCATGTACCTACCAGCTTGTGGTAGCGTTTGTCAACCTGAAAAGAAACATAAGCAATGAAGAGAACAATTTAATATTAACCTACAGCTAATTAAAGGAAGTGCTGCAGTGCTTTGAAAAGGGAAGTTGGGAAAAATCCAGTTTACACAATAAATGAAAAAAGAACGCCAATAATTTCTTGATCCCTCCCAATTATCCTGTAATATTCTTTGTCATTAACTGTCCCTGTTTGCAAAAAGGCCAAAGAATGCTTATTATAACGTTTACCTATATGCAAAATAATATATAACTTTAATGCTTTTTCAGTGCCAAAAATGTTCTGCATGGATTATCTATCATTAGTGTGTCTATTTAAATTCCAGATTCAGACTAAACAGCCTACCATCTTATATGTGTCTTATGCACCCCATATTAAGATTATTTCAAGTAAATCAGTTCTTCTAACCAACCTGCATGAGGCCAAAGCCATTGCCATGGTCGCCCCATCCATCCTTTAGAGCAGCTCCAGCTCTGGACTCTCTGGATATGATGGCAGCAATCACAGCCGGGTCCATCTGCTTTGCTGTACCAACTTTGATGATCTTACTCTTATACTGCTCCATTCGGGCCAGATCATGCTCAGCCAGTTTTTTGGAAGCCTCGACACCTTTGAATGGAATTTGTTGATATAAATCGCAATGCATGTAACTTAAGTTACTGGTCTAACACACCAGTTAAACAGTCATAGGCCTACCTTTTACGGTTAATTTGTCCTGTTTTGCTGTCACCTCTGATGCACCGGTGGTGTCTATTTTCATGATGTCTCCATAAATGCATGCTAGAAAATACACGGTAAGAATCGTCTGAAGGCCTTTAAAAAAGTCTGTAAATAATTAATTTAAAACATTAATGTATTGCTATACTATCAAAGTATCCTATTAATTAAGGTATTATTTAGCTCAGGATAATAATCATCTTACCCATGATGACTCAAAACTGCTGTGTACAAACAAAACAGAACACTGTACTCAAGTTGTGACTTCAGCCCACTGACTGTGTGAAGTTGTGATTGCAGTGGAACTGGTTTCTCTTTCTCTTTTTCACTTCTTCCTTAAGGAGGGACAAAATCGTCATGTTTAGTGTTGTCATAACTAGACGTTGCGAAATTAGGGCACTTCTGTGCTTTAGTCATATTAGCACATCACACCCATAGACTGTAGATCACACCCAAGCCAGACTGAAGCTTGCATCTAGGCTACACTGAAATTAAATGCATGTAGCCTACTGCAATTTTACTACGTCTTAAAATGTTATTTAAACAACGGTCAAGCATTTGAGTTACAGAAGCTCAGTAAGTGAGTCACATTAATTCAGTAACCGCTGCACCTGACTGATAAGTGCTTATGATCATGAAAAGTACTGCTCATAATAACTGTCATTTGTTCGGGAATCGGTTCCGTGAAAAGAATCGACTCATAAGAGTGATTCGTTCGGGAATCGAACTAGCCTATATACACCGTGTGAGTTGATTCACTAATAAGAACCGGCTCATAAGAAATCATTTGTTTTGGCAATCGGAGTACAATGGTATCGCTGTATATTTATTATTCACTGGAAGTCAAAAGAGCATTTTTTCGGTTCGCACTGTCAGCAGCGCTACGTACAGTAGACTGCCAAGAGAAAAAGTGTACTGTGTCTTTAAGGCCAAACCCACCTATCACAGCCAGTCTATGAAAACCAGGAAACAAAACACTGGAAGTAGCTTTACATGTTACAACATAAAGTAAAGATGCTGATGCGAAAGTATTGCATTTAAACTATATTCTGCATGAACATATTTGCATAATGTTTGTAAGTACTTGGATGTGGTTGTTTATTTTGATTTTACACGTTTTGGAAGCAGGTGTTTTTGCAGTAGATAGCAAACAGTTCAACATTTTGTATTTAATTGCTGATGATTTGAGACCAACATTAGGCTGCTACTCTGATCCAGTGGTCAAGTCACCAAACATCGACCAACTTGCATCAGTGAGCACAGTGTTTCATAACGCCTATGCACAGGTATGTTGCTCATCAAAAACATAAATATGCATGATACATACTATATAAAGCGTTATTGGTAGTGTACATTTAAGTAACAGGTGCACACTGCTGTTATGTTCTTTTAAAGCAAGCTGTTTGTGGACCTAGTAGGGTGTCTTTCCTTACAAGTCGAAGACCAGACACCACAAAGCTGTATGATTTTAACTCCTACTGGAGAGTTCATGCAGGGAACTACACTACACTTCCTCAGTACTTCAAGTCTAATGGATACACCACTTTATCAGTTGGCAAAGTCTTCCATCCTGGTAACTAGTCTACCTGATATATGCATGCTCGTGTCACAATGCCAAAAATCCTAAAAATTTGACTTTGCTATGCCTTCATTTTTTTCCATGTGAAAGATGTCCTGGGCATTTACTTTTGGATGCCCTATAATCCTTTCCCGTGCTAACTGTCTTGTTTGATGTTTGAACTAATAATGTTTCTCTTTCACGTGCTCGTCCTCAAGGCATTGCCTCCAACCACTCGGATGATTACCCGTACAGCTGGTCTGTACCGCCGTATCATCCACCCTCTTTTAAATATGAAAAGAGGAAGGTCAGTGTGTGAGTTAGTGTTAGTGTCCTTTCAAACCTGTGCTGTATTGTTTAAATGTCCCTTGGTAAAGCCACACCAGTCCTAGCAATCAGAAGCATGGATTTGGTTTTATATCAGGGATTTATTTGGAGGTTGGAATTTTGACTTAATTTTAGGTTCAGATCATCATAGACCGTTCTAAACCAATAAACCAATGTCCAACACAATATTCAAAGGCCATATATATAATATAATATTATCAGAACTATAGCTATAATATATTTGCACTACTGTTCAAAAGTTTTAGATCGTATGTTTTTTAAAAAATTTTTTAAAAGACATTTCTTGTGCTGACCAAGGCTGCGTTTATTCGATCAAAAATACAGAAAAAACTGTAATATTGTAAAATATTTGTACAATTGAATATAACTGTTTTCTATTTGAATATATTTTAAAATGCAATTCATTCCTGTTTTGGCAAAGCTGAATTTTCAGCATCATATTGTAATTTTCTTAATATTTGCAGTATTTGAAGTTAAATATTGAGTTCTGTTTATATATATATATATATATATATATACACACACACAC